AAGACATCATTCCATAAAAGGATTTGTAAAGACCTTTCTCTATCTTCAGGTAAAACAAAAGAGTTGGTGCAATTGTATCTAATTTTCTGCCGCGCAGAACCCGCTTTCGATTGTAAAAATGATATTTGATCTGATGATAACTGGAAAATAAAATTAGACAAAACTGATTACTTGTAACACAATTAACGTTACAAAAATGAATGAGAGCGTGCTCACTTCTGAAACAATCACACAAATTTAGTCTTGCTTTGATTCCTATGAGCATATATCGAGGTGCGCACACTACTCAATTTTTAGTTGTGCAACTAAACAGTAGAATTGGCTGCAAAACAATCTACAATCGCACAACAGTTGTACGATAGTTTAGCCAAAGATGTGCGTCCACTGTAAAGGTTTTGGATTCTAAAGTAAATTTGTAAAAACAAATGTAAAAACCTACCCCGTAAAAATCCGTAACATTAAATTTTTGTTCACTTAACCAGAATTGTCTGTCTTTATTCGTATAGTTAGTTTGAAAAGAATTTCCCGTAATTTGAATACATGTCCAACCGTCTTTTGGACACGTGACTAAGAAAGGATTTTGTTTTTTCATCCAAAATTGTTCTGTAACACAAGATTATAATATAAACTCATGCGGTTTGTAACTAAAATTGTGTCTGTTCATCATCCATTTGCCCCTATCCAATACGGAGGGTTGGCACGGTATGTGCTGCTATTCCATACATCTAAAATTGTGTCTCTGTTATCATCTTCAATAGTTTTACTACATTTTACGTTTGGATAAAATTCGTTTAAAACCTAATATTAATAAGTATTTCCTGTATCTCTAGAGGTGATATTTTTATTAACTTAACATCAAGTGAAATCCCGATGTCCTCTGATCGCTTTAATGATCTACTGTACTGTAGATCCGGATCATAGAACAACACTATGTTCAGTAGCACTCAAAACTAAGTATCTGATATTTATTGAGTCAAGTTTTAAATATCCCTATTATTGTATTGGAGATTCTCTTCCACAATACAAATTTAAAGCACCAAATAGTGAGAAAGTAATAGATTTGAATAATATAAATATTTACTGTTTTTTTCGACTTCAGCCTGAACAAATGGATGCTCGCTACAAAGTCCAGTTAGAGGCTTTCCTTTGTCACCTAAAGCAATATCACCCATGTCATCTGGAAAGATGTAAAAGCAAGTAGTTAATTAATAAAATTGCAAACTAGATTTTGGATGATTGTTAATTAGTGGACTGAGCTGTATAGTACTGCACTGTGTATCGATCTACCTGACCGGACGTGTGAAACAGGCATAAGGTAGACAGGCAGAAGGTTAGTTCGGTTTTAACTAGTGTCTAACCTGGTCTTTCAGCCAAAACCGAAAACGAAATCGAACTTTTGGCCATGCTTTCTGTTTCAGCCGAAACCGAAACTTGAAAAAACACATTTAAAATTACGATTTTATATTGAAATTTACTGCATTTATAAAAATGTACATAAATTTTGTACAAAAATAAAGTTATTTTGTTTTTATTAATAATTAGATTTCGATTAGAATTGACCCGTGGCAACACACGAAAATTTACGAACACTCTAGTTTCTGGAGAGCTGAAAGTTTCGGCTAGATTTTTGTTCGAAATTGTGCCAGTACCGAAAGGTTGGTAGGTCTCTAATTTTAACGATGCGTATATAGTTATTTTCACTCACCGTCTGAATCAAAAGTTGGTATATAAACTCCTGGAGATCCCGGTAGCCCAGGTGGTCCTCTCTCCCCGTTCTTCCCATTTGTACCCTAAATTATTTTTTAATTGAATTTAATAAAACAATACGGTTAACCACAACTCCAGGCTTAAAACCTATGTTTTTCCTTATGTGTATTTCCAAGTAGTTTCCATAAGTTTCCTTTGAAATAACTGGAATGTTCTATTAAATATTATTTACATATATTAACGAAATAGTTACATTTCAGTGAAAATTTCGGACTCAATTATTTTGATGTACTTTTTCTAAAACATACATACAGTTTCTTCAGTTACTATTACGTTACTATACTTAAAACTATGCGGATAATTTTCTTCTTAATCTATACTATTTTTTATTATAACATAAGGTGGCAAACGAGCAAGCGGCCACCTGAATCCGCCAAAATGGCGAAGCGACCGCTGCCCATAGACATCCGCAATTGCAGATGCGTTGCCTACCCTTATACGACGGAGGAGGAGACGCATATAAAGAGGATATTTCCCCTTCCTATGCATCTCCTCCACCGTCAAATCCACTTCCCCTTCCCATCCTCTCTTTATAAGAAAAGGGTGGTAAAGGGAAAGGGACTTAAATTAGGCCTCCGGCACCACACTCATCAGACGAAACACGGAATTGCTTCCATTTCACGCCTGTCTTCTGTGTGGTTGTGGTATTACACCGGGCGTGCCGGCCCATTCGTAAATCTATACTAATATTATAAATAGGAAAGATTTGTATTTTTGGATTTTTGTATGTATTATAATAACTCTGAAACTACTGGACCTATTTCAAAAAATTGTGCACCATTAAAATGCTATGTTATCATAGAGTAACATGGGCTACACTTTTACTATTTTTTAAATTTCACGCCGACAAAGTCGCGAGCAACAGCTAGTCATTTATAATGATAAACGATGATATAATATAGTTTATAAAACATTGTTTTGACTTTACGTTTTAACAATAAAAAATCAATTTACCGGAATTCCGGGGGCTCCCGTTGGTCCTGTAGGTCCTACTGGACCCTGCTCTCCTTTCAAATATTTCGTAGTCTGAATCAATAATTATTGTTTATTAACATCTTTATATAAATTGTTACAGAACCAATAAGTTACATAAGACGTACATACCACTTTAATCGAGCATTGTCCTGGAAGGAAGTATTAATATAATTATTAATTACATTAGTTTACATAACATTTAAATTCATAAATGTGTAATGTACATACGCATTTTAGTTTTGCATACTCGGTCGTCGGAGTTTGTAACCTAAAATGAAAAAAGATGTAATAGCAATGATAGACCAGTCATGACTTACCCAAGGTAAAGGGTTGTTATATATAGCATATTTTTAGTTGTTTCGGAAAAATCGCTTCATAATAGACCCAAGCAAATTCAAGTCTGTTAAAAAATTACAACTATACACTCCTCTAAATGCAGATAAGCCAGTAGACGAAATAGCAAAAATGTTGTGCTTCGAATAAAATCAGTACATACCATTTCCGTTGTAATATAAATATCTTCACCTGCATAAGTAAAAGAAAATATTACTTAAAATCTTGGTGTACTTATCATGGATTTGTTTCATAAATCTTTCAGTGAATAAACAGTATTATTAGCAAAATAAACCGAAACTACTAATATTATAAATGCGAAAGTTTATGAAGATGAATGGAAGGATGGGTGTTTGCAGCTTAAACTGCTAAACGGATCACGATTACGATGTAGAGTATAGCCTGGAACAACACATATGCTACCTACTTTTGTTTTTTTAACACCGCGGTCGGAGTCGCAGCCTAAAGCTAGTCATCATACTATTATACTACTATTATAAATGCGAAAGTTTAGATGGATGGA